AAAGTCAGTTCAGATAAAAATTACTTTTACTAATATTAATCTAAATAAGCATGAAACGTTGACAACACAGACAAATTTGGTGAAAACATCATATATTTGTATGTATCTACATGTATGGTTGAGGTAAGTGATAAGAGAGTGGTCCAAACTGCGCGCTATAGATAAGTGGCAAGGACCACCATTTGTTGATTAGTGATCGACAACAAATATGGCTATTTTATGATTAGAAATTGTGAACGTTTTCTTTATATATCCTTTTGTCATTAATTTAGAATGAATTGACTAACTTTTATTGTGAAATATTATATATATATATATATATATATCAAATACTAAGCTACACAAAGATCCAAATAAATTTATATAATTTAACATATGATTTAATTCATTACTTACATCTTATATATTAAGTATTCTTAAACATTACTACTATTATTAAATATTTTTATTAATTTCCTTATTTTATTGAAAAGTTTATTTATAATTGATATAACTAATATTTATATTATATGTTTTATTATAATTTTTGTCTTTATAAAAATATTATTTTTAAGATAAAATTAATTATAAATGAAATAAATTTCAAATATTTGTGATGGGATAAACTTTCATCGCTAATTTCATGTATTTTGACGTGTTTCTTTGTGTCTTTCTTTTTCTTCCCCCTTCTTTTAAAAAGTCTAGGTAGGTATGATATTTGTAATTCATTTATTTATGTTGGAATAACAGAATCATGGACTCATGGTACAAACCGTGGGAGCATGAACACCCCAGCTGCCGTTTGGATGCTGCCCCGGCTTCTCCTTAATTTTGGGACTCTTTCTAAATTTTTTTTTAGGATTTTTTTATCATTAGATTTTTTTATAAAATGAGTAACATTTTAATATATTATTTATAAAAATCGTTTCATTTTCCATTTTTTATAATTTTTTAAAGATTTAGTACTTCAAATGGTTCAATTTCTTTTTAACTTGGAGTGCCAAATCTTTAAAAAAATCATTAAAAAAATTGACAACTAAACCATTTTTTGCAAATAAGATACCAAAATGTTGCTCATTTTATGTAGAACTTAAAGATAAAAAAGAATCACAAAATATATTTGGAAAGAACCCCAAAATTAAGGGGAAGGAGGGCGTAGTACCCAAGGGGCAGCTGACGCTCCCTCCTATGAACACACATTTAAGTTATACTATATACCCACTTCCGGTAATTAATATAAAAGTTAGTTAGTTAATTTAAATATATTAAGAAATTAGTTAAATTAGTTATTTATAATAAATATGTGTTGTTTTATCTAAAATATTCTTACTAATCATGTATACTAATTAGAATTAATATATACAAGTATACAACTACTATAAGAACTATTTTAAAAAAATGATAAATATAAAAGATAAAGTAGATTTTGATATTATATTCAATACTAAATTAAATATTAAACAAAATCTTCTATTAATAATCAGAATAGTATCAGAGGGGAAACAAAAGCCATGTACCTTAGAGAGGATAATATTGAAGTTATCGTAATTTGCCCTATGATGAGCAAAATTGGTACATGTATTCACCTCTCCAGAGATGTGGTCAAAGAGGTGACAGTCCAATCTCGGATGGGACGGTGAGATTCCTAATCATGCTAGATATATGTAATTTACCTTATTGCCTATTTTAACTCACAACAAAACCCATCCATTTTACTGTACGCTGGATGTTTGGTGCTCTTTTAGTATCCTATTACCTCGTAACTTAAGTTTTTAACATAAGAGCTAGTTAATTATTAACAAATAGATTTGGTATTAAATATGATATTTCAATCTTTTTTTTTTCAAATTGATGATTTTTTCTTACAAAGTATTCTTATTAATTGTACACATTAAGAAGGTTCACACCAAAAAGTCATTTTAATGCACGTAATTAAAAATGATGGTTTAAAAAAGTGAATAAATATTTATCACAAATAACTGATCTAATTAGTTTTTTTAATATTCGTAAATTAGTTATCTAACTCTTATATTAAGGGAGATTTGATATGTCAAGCTATTAGCTGGCCCTTAGTTTCTTTTCCCATTTTTCCAATGTTAAAACCCTTGTTTCTTTTGATTATTAAATTCTACATACCACGAGTGACATTTTGATATTTTACGGGCAAAGATACATAAAAAGACATTTGGGAAGTGAAAAAAAAAACAAAAGAAAGAAAATTAAAGGACAGTGGGAGTAGCTGACACGTTAAATTCATATTATGTTTTTTTCCACTTACACATAAGTATTTTGGCGGCAATTCACTTAGAGATAGTATCAAGTATTAAAGATGAGCATCCCTCCTAATAAACATTTAAATATTAGTTTAAAAAAATTAGCTTTTTTTTGTGGGAACTAACTCCTGTTAGTATAGTACAATTTTATGATTTATCTACCCAATGCAAAATTGATGGAGGATGTGAACCAATGAAACAAACCCCGTGGCCCAATTACCCAAACACACTGTCATGCTGGATTACTGGTTGCAGCTTGGGCAAGCCCAAGTTATCGCGCTATTGTAGCTAATCTTGATGCATGACTAAACCATTTGAATTAGCCAATTTAAATATATCATCCCAAAAAAATTTAAATTGGCTAATTTAAATAAGTACTTAGTATGTACTAAAAAAATAAGTATTTTATACTATACAAAATAAATATATAAAAAGAATCTTGTGTAAAAATATTTTTTGGGATGTACCCACTACTCAATAAATAATAATTCAGGTCATTAGGTTTGGCAATATAAACCTACAATGGGAAGGGATTTATTTTTAAAAAAAAAGGCAAATAAAGACCTCTTAATATGTGAAATTGTGATTTGGAACCCTTAATTTAGAAAATAACAAATAAAGACCCCGTCTCATATTGCAAATATGAAATTTTGGTAAAATATCTAAAATGCGTATCAGCTAAATGACAAGTTGACTATAGGAAATGACAAGTTCATTTTAGCGAATGATAACTTCAGTAAACCAAATCACAACTTAGCTGAGGGTATGCCAAATAACAAGTTGACTATAAGAAATGACAAGTTCATTTTATCGAATGACAACTTCAGTAGATCAAATCACAATTTAACTGAGGGGTATTTCAGACATTTCACTAATATTTCATATTTATAATATGAGACCAGGTCTTTATTCACAATTTTTTAAATTGAGGGTTCTAAATCATAATTTTATATATTAAGAGGTTTTTATTTACAATTTTCTCTTTAGTTAACACTCTAAATATGAAACTATATGTTTTTTAAAAAATTACATGTTTTGACTAAAGTTACTTAAAAGCATATTTGACCTTGACAAGTTCCTGAAACCCGACTCCAATAGCTTTTTTTTAATTTTAAAAAAACAAGAGTTTTCAACGAAAACATGCCATGTGTTATAACATCAGTTAGATTTTTTGCCCTTTGGAATTAATGATTAACGTTAATATTCTTTAATTAGTTTAGAGGTGGCAATGTAACAATTTTGACAACTAAGAGGCACCTGTTATTTCTTCACAAATACTTCAATTTTGAGACAAAAATGCATTTTAATGAATTGTTTCTTTTGCCAACCATTTTAATGCAAATGTATTTTTACACAAACACTATGCGTTAGTCAATTTTTTTTTTTTTGGAGTGAACGTTGGTCAAATTTTTTAACAGTCAATAGACAATTTCAATATCCCTTAGTTTGAAGAGAATATTATAACTTTTTTTTTTGGTTACAGAATATTACATAGCACACCAATTGCTCATCAAAGAATATTTTAAGGACGAAAATATCTTTTAATCTTTATTACTACTGCTATCATTATTAGTTTCTAGGCACTACATGTTCCACGCAGTGCAACTGTGCAAGATAGGTTGGGTTTTGATACTCATAACCTTTTGAGAGGCACCATTATAAAATCTAATTTGCCCAAATATGATTTTTTTTTTTGTGGCCTGAATGTCCAAATATGATTTAAACGGTACATATTTAAAATTATTATTTTAACGAGTTTTAGTGCAATTTTATCCTTACAAATAACAATGTAGGGCGTCAGGTACACCAAAAATAATTTATGGTGGTAGAAGCATTTGGAAAAAAAAAAATTGAGTGCTTGATGCATTAAAATGTATTTTTGAATGCTGAACATATCTAAAATAATATTTTAGAATACTAAATGCATCATAGAATATTTTATGATATTAGATATACTTAGGAAAAATATTGCAAGCCGTTGAATGTACCTAAACCCAAATAAAATAATATTAAGATTAATATAATTTCTAATTCTTATAATTTGATTCAATTTTTATTTTGAGTTTAAATATAGATAGTAAAATCAAAACTCGGTAAAAATATAAGGTTATTTGTTCAATTCAGACCACAAAATTATAGAATTATAGAAACTAAAACCAACAACTTTTTTCAATCCAAAAAAATCAACAATATGAAATTACAAGGATAAAAAAAAATTTGATACCTATTAGAAGTAACAATAGTATTAAGGGAAAATTTGGGATAAATCTTTCATTGAAAATTTAATTGGAAAATGGGATCTAAAGAATTTATGCAACTTAATTTTTATTATTGGCAACTTAATTTCCTTGTGCACAATTTAATTTTTCTTGTATACAATAATCTTCCTTTATGTGATGTACAACTCCATTTTCTTTTGTATAAATGAAATTCTTTTATTTGGAAATCATCTTCTTTAAGTGCAAACTAATCTCTTATATCCAAAGAATTTTGTACAAACCATCTTCTCTTTATGCAACTTATTTTTCTTTATGTGTAACTAATCTTCTCTTGTCAATTATCTTAGAAATCATTTTAAATTTGTAACGAGCGATTTGTTCCTAATTTTCTCTATTATTAATCCATAATATTAAATCTGAAACATCAATTTTTTCATCCAACGGTTCAGGTCTGGCCTCAAACTCATTCGCCGACACATTGGAGACTTATAACGTGGCTGAAGAGCGACGTTGCTTGTTCCGTGCGGGCGACGTACGGTTGAACAGAGCCATGTGGCGCTGCCATTTTTCACATTCATCGTTCTCCGTCTTATCTTCTTCTTCTTCCTCCTCTTCCTCCGCCTCCTCTGTTAGGGTTCTTCTTTCTTCAGCTTCTTCTTCTTCTCCTTCAAGGACCTCAGTTTCCATTTCTTTATCCCTCTCTTGCTCTGCCACTGCCATGGCGACCCACGATGAAGGGCGAAGGAAGTTCCTGGACTTCCCCTTCGTTTCTACTTCCCACAAGAACCTCATGCTCGATCTCGTTTCAGCAGTCGAAAATCGATTCAATTCGCAGCTTCTTCCTTGTACGCTGCCGCCGGACGTTCAGTACTACCAGAACCAGACAGGTACTGCCCAAGCTTCACTGCAAATTCGATCCGGCCAGAGTAACTCCCCTGTAATTTCACTTTCTACTGTATACCATCAAATTTGTCTTTAAAACTGAATTTGCGTGAAAGCTTATGCTTTTGGGTTTGACATTGGGATGCACTTCACCCTCCCAAACAGCTCAGAGGTTATGGCAGAACTTGTTTTAGATTTGTAGTCAAAAGATTTTATCAGCAATCATTTGATATTCCATCTTGCATGAGAAAGATCACTGTATATGTTGAGAGTAACCTCATGAATTGTACCTGAAAAAATGGCTTGAACTTCTCGAATCTTTGAACTGATGGGCCTGAACCTGTGCGTACATGAGTAGTTGATTACTCTAAAATCTTGAATTTCCATACAGAAGTAGTTATTTCTAAAGCCATTTGATGCAGTTTCCTCCACAAACAATATGTTCCATTGACATGTTTTTATGGCACCACTCTCTTAGCACTTTAATCAAGTGTTTTCCCTGTTATATTCTGAATTTGGGGGTATTTCTGCGTTAATTCTCAGGTTGATTTTGTATTGGGAAGTTGGGTACACTCTGAACTACCAACAGGAGGATCCTTGGATATAACAAGTCTTTCAGCTTATCTCAATCTCACAAACGACTCACCAAACTTTGTGATTGAACTTATTCGGAGTAGTCCAACAATGCTGGTCCTCATTCTTGATCTGACTCCTCGCAAAGATCTTGTGCTTTGGCCAGACGACCTCAAAACGTTCTATGAAGATACTCAGCTGGACAAACACAGGCAAGCTATTGAGAAAATCCCTGAGGTGAAGCCTTACATATCTTCCTCACTTTATATCCGGGCCGCTTCCTCTCCTACAGCTATCATGGTTACAATTGGGACACTGGCTGATGGCGGAGAAGAACGCATGGAGGAGATCATTAGAGACCATTTGGATCCCGTTTCAAAGCAAGTGTTGGGGATATGGTTGGACCATTGTGCGTGTGGCAAGAGAGAAGTAGGAGAGGCAGAAAGAGCTGAGCTGAAGAAAAGGGATGGGATTATGAGAAGCAAAACTATTGAAATTGATCTAGGCTCGAGCTTCCCAAGGCTGTTTGGTCCAGAAGTTGCAAACCGAGTTCTTGAAGTCATGAGGGAGTATTTTAGTATGTGATACGATGTTACATAAGAATATAACTTCTTAGTCTGGTTCAATGTGTGTAAATAGTATGACTTCTTGGTTTGGTTCAAATGTTCAATGATAGCCAAAGTGTTCGTTCAACATATAGTTAATCAGCACTTTTGAAACGAGTACTTTGGCACCCTTTATTGTAAAATGGACTTTTATTTGGTGAACAATATCTACTAGATCATCTATAGATCATATCTTCAAATGATTGAGGATGAAACTATTGGATTTGTGTTCTGTGCTAATATGAAGACTGATCTAAATGCTGGAGTCGCAGTTTTTTAGCTAGAAGAAGATGCAAAGCCTTGTGGTGCAGCCATTTTTCACTTGCACTGCTCTCCATCTTATCTTCTGTTAGGCTTAGTTCATCGTCATAATCATCATCCCCAACAGTTTTCTAGTAGTAATTCCAGTGGCTTTATTTCTACCAAAGAAGAATGGCATTGTAAGCTAAGCCACCGTTCTCACTGACTGTTAAATCAAGTAATCAAGGATGATAGAGTGAAATTTGATACTAAGAACCTGAATTCTGTATTTTCTCAATTTGAAAAATCACACTCGTTACGTTTTAAATTGTTCCACTCACATGCATTTAAGCCACACAGATATTTGATTTGACGACCATATATCACTAGTTGTTTTCACATATGGATCCAAGTTTTCCATTTGTTCCTTGATGGATACAGGAGAACAACAGATGGGCCCATTATTCAAAACACTATAATGAAGAATTAAGTTGCCTTCACTCACATATGGATCCAAGTTTTCCATTGACATGAGGGGACTGTACAGATTGGCTAAAATCAAGTAGCAAATAGACGGTTGATCTAGGTAAGACCTTAAGAGAATATATCTCTTACAATTCTAGTTATGAAAACACCATAAGGTCGACATTCTCTTGATACTATCGAGTAGTCTCATGAGAATATGAGGATGCAAGCAAAGCTCACATAGAAAGAAATAAATTCAATTTTGATTCATACAAAAATTGTAGCTTATACATAGGCAACCATAAAACACTCTAGAACTAGCATATTAAAACCTAAATGTTAGGAATAATGTCTCATTAATGATTATTTGACTATGGGAGGCACTATTTATTAGATAAAGATAAAAAGAAATGATTTAACCTTCAAGAACAAATCTATTATTTGAGAATAGAAAATTAGATCAGATTATGATCTTCTAAAACAATCGTTGACCAAAAGGCATTATTCAAAGTAAATAAAGAAATTTTTTTTCCTGAAATGAATTTAAATATTAATTAATTCATAATAATGCCTTCTTAATCCTTCTTGAATATTCTTAGACGTTACTTATTATCCTTGTCTAAGGCACATGCTTGTTATATGGTATTTTAAGTGAATTTTTCAATTTTAACTCCACATGGGCCATGTACATCATTTTGTTGGGCTTCTAACAATGTGACCACTATTTTTGGATTTTTTTTTTAGGCTCATTAAAATGCGCTTCTTCCAACGAAATATGTTCTAACTCTTTTAGTTTTTTTATTAGACAATTCAATGTCTCATTCATAACTTTGATTCTTGCTCTTGTTATTGAGCCTTCAATAGCTTGTAATGGATCTTTTAAAATGTTGGGCTCCTTGTCTTTCCTTTGATGTTTGATCTTAATCACACCATGCTCCTCTAATCTCCATCAATAGAACACATGGGCCTATTATTCACAGCACAACATTGAAGCACTAAGTTGCGTTGAATCACGTCAAACAGTTTGCGGAAACCTGCAGCAGAAAAAAAAATAAAAAATAAATACAGTTTGCAGAAACTCAATTTGAAAGTAAAATCAAATTTTTTCAAAATGATTGTGGTGGCAAGTGTGGTCAGTCTTTGATGTGAACCAGCAAGTTGTTTCTTCGACGTCAATTCAGCCCTCAAAATGGACCAATCACAAGAACAAGAAGCAAGAGAATTAAGAAAGTATTAAATGGGCTAATTTAAGAGACTTTGACAAAGTAAATGACAATTGGATCAACAAATCCACATAAAAAAAAATTGAGGGTGTCATCAATATAACTTGACCTGAAAGTTGAGCAATTTGATCATATTTTGGGCTTGGACTAAGTGCTATATATGGAAAGACTCATTTGGGAATAAATAATCACATTTTGAGGTTAATATGCTAATCATATTTTATTAAATATATTTGAGCCAAAATTAGTAATTAGGTAGGATATTTGACTTTTGAGTTTTCATTAAGTTTTTTAATTTCTTTTAAATTAGTATTTAATGTTTTGAGTCTCTAAGTTGTATTAAATGCTTTTTAGTTGAATTTGAATGCATCTTTAGACTTGATTTTGAGAAATAAACAGTTACACTTTTGTATTTTCAGATTTAAGAGTAGATTTTCTCTTATTATTTATTGAACTAACAGATTTATTATGGTTTGATCAAACTTGTGGAGTCTTCCAACACCTCGGGCTTTTGCTCTTCCATGCTTAATAGTTCAAGTAGATCACCAAACTTTTATTGTCTTGAGTATATTCAGATTGGTTTTAGGTTCGTGGGAATTTTTCTTCCGGTGGGTTCGAACCACTCTTGCAGACAAGGAAATATGGGCATCTATTAGCAGCCGGACTCGCTATGGCTGGTTAAGCTATGGTCCTGCTATGGTTTTCGTGGGAATCTTCTGAAACAGCTTTTAGCTTTATTTGCTGTCTCTTAACGATTTAGACTTTCCTCTTGCTTTGGGTTTTCTTAACTCCAAGCTGACACCTCAAGGCTCAAGATGAAATCCCGTAATTCAGCCTCTTGCATTTTTCAAGCTTCCTTATGTCATGGAGGCAAGTCATTTTGAAATCTCAAATCAGGATCAAAATCCGATAACAATCTTTCCTTCAAGTTACAATCATAATATCACCAAGTCAACGTCCATGGAGTTGAACAAACAATGGAATTTTTCTGAGCAAGTTTCTCATTATGCGGCCAACCTCAAGGAATCATAGAATTCAACTCGTCCTAATGCAACAACTTTAGAATATTCGGTTCATATCAACGCTTAGGATGATACTGAATTAAGGCTTTTACAATCAAACTAATACACACCCAGTTGTAGTCTTGCTCAATTAGTAAATTTTGGCAGCTTGATATAAATAATGACTGTTCGTATAGTTTTCTTCAAGGAATATTATATATGGTTTTGAGGGCCTCTCCGGGTGCTACCGAAGTAGAACACGGCCGAAAAATTAGAACACAATTAACCATAGCAATTAATAGTCCAGGACGTGCATGAGGACCTAGTTTGAAAGATTGTGTACTACATTAAGAAGGGGGTTTTAAAGTTCAAAGGGAGACAACTTGTTTTCTTTTCACAAGCCGAATCACCAGTAATCTTTCTTGTTCATGTGGTGAGGGAAGGTATGTTGCTTATCTTCTCAAGAACTTTGAAATGCCTAGTGCAAAGCCTTTTCCAACACCTATGGTGGTTGGTGAATACATTTCTCAGCAAATGATGGAAAACCATTAAACCCTTCAATTTTATACTAGTTCAATGGAAGCATTCCAGTACTTAATTAAGCAGAGTACTTGGCTTTCTGTAAATAAACCGTCAGTTCTCAGCTTCACCCATAGACTAAAATGTTCAAGTTGTGGAAAGTTTCTAGATATATAGCAAAAACTTAGAATGGAGTTCACATGGAACGTGTGTTTGGAATAGTGGTGAACAGGAGAAGAGTCAAGTTGTGGAAAGAAAAAGTCATGTTAAAAAACAAAAAAACTCCACCATGTTCTTTGGATTACGTTTTGTTGGAAGGGCTCATGGCCCAAAGCTAGAATTTTTGTTGGGAGAGATGTTCATATTTAGTACTGATAATATTTTGAACAGGGTTGCTTCTAATTAAAGAATAGCTGCAAAAAAAAAGAAGTCATGTTGCTACAGTAGAGGAGAAAATGACAATGGAAAGGGAAGAAGGAAAATTAGTCTTTTAAAATGTGGGCTCCACTTGATTTAGTAAAAGGAATTATAAGATTACTCTAAGGACCCAATAGTTCAATGTTTGCGAAAGTCCCTTGAGAAGGAAAAAAAAAAATTTAATTAAGCGTTTATTAGTATTTACAATTTTTTCCCGATAATTCATTAACTCTTTTCATTTTAGTAATTGTAATTTTTATATTTTCTAAAGTTATCAGATTATATAATATAATACGCACACCTCCAATTAAACTAACAATGCTCAAATCTGATTCAGTTAAATAACCATATCAATATATATAATAAAACTTATATATTTCTTTAGTTATTTTACATTTAAAATTCTAAATTTTATTATCCAAACAAGTTTTAACTTATCAAACTGATTTTCTTAACTATAATCAATCCTAACACAAATCACATTATACTAAATGACTTTTACCCGGACTTAGATTTGCTAGAGCTGGATGAAATAGAAGCCACCATTTGTCACTTCTAGTCCAAGCACGTCGTAAACCTTTTGGGCATCTTTTTCTCAGAGTTGTCATATGGTGATCAAGTTGTTAGTTGAGATTATCAGAGAGCTGTTGTCGGTCATGAGTCCCTTTTGGTTTCTTTGGCAGCTATGTCTTATAGCTTGATCAAGTATTTAGGGAGTGTTTGGATGGAAACCAAACCATGGTTTTAGAAGTGCTTTTACGATTTACGAAGTAAATATGTGAAAGAGTTTGTCTCGTTTTGCGGAAAAATGCTTCTGAGAAGCACTTTTGAGGGTTGCCAAACACAAATCCTATTGCAGATCTTTGGCTACTTTAGTAACAGAGATAGGGTAGACTCGGCCATTGTTAAGAGATGCTTGGTTGCCTTTAAGCAAGAACCTTTGAGCTGGTGCAAAATCTTAGAGTGCAGCTTCATTGATTCGTAATCCAATGTTTCTTGCTTTATTTCACTATGTGAGATTGATGTTCACTAGGTTTAAGATGGTTTTACCAAAGTAACTGGCTAACTACCAGAGAATGAATTGACTCCTTTTTGTGAGAAGTTAATATTGTTCTATGCTTTACCTAGGCCTATTTTTCTCGCCTTCTCATTGACTTTGCATCCCTCCCACACTTTCGGAGAAAGAGACTTCAACTTCATCCAAGCAGCACGCAATGAAGATTTCTTCAGACCTTGGCTCCCATGAAACAAGAAGCAGTAAGATGCTGTTATGTGGTTCATTTTCCCAATCAGACATGAATTTCACCATGTGGACCCAACAGAGAAACAGCCAGACGATGCCAGAATCACCCAGATCAGAGAAACAGAGTTACATGAACAGAACTAGAAGAATGGCCACAGCAACTCACTGATTGTCAATTTTAAAATGGGGAGATACTGGTCACTTTCTTCAAGCCTTATTCTGACCTCAAAGCCACTGCTGTTTACTTGTTTATCTAGTCATGCTATGATGTCATTGATGCCTTAGGAAGACTAAAGTTTTATGCCCAAGTGTTTTAGCCATGCCCTCGGAAGACTGAAGTTTTATGCCTAAAGTGTATTGGACATACCCGATATTTCAGTGGCATAGAGGAAATGCTTGCATAAAGCAGACGCAAACTTTTTAGAACAGAAGTTCAAGCCCCAGACTAAACACCCCCAGACAATGAATCGTAACACTGTTACTGTATTAAAGGTAGCCTTATTAACATTTTACTATGTAAATAACATTGTGCCTTTTCATTTAGCTGCTGAATGACTTCATGGGCCAACTAATTTAAAAGGATTAACAAGAAAAGGAGAGCATGCAATCCGTGTTCTTGAATTTAGTAGTCAATTCAAGAAATAAGCATGATCTCCATAAAATCAATAGATGTTACAAAGTAATTCATTGAAGGGAGAATTTAAATATGTACATAACTGATTTGCTTACTAAGCTCACACACTTTCCACTCAAGTCTAATTGAGGATGATTTTACAGAGAACCGCACTAGCATCATGCGACATCATATTGATATACAAAAATATTAAAATGAAGTTGCCTTACCTAATCCTAATCCATATTGCTAAAAGAGTCAATCAATTGTTGGTTTCTCTTAACTGTTTGTAGCATCTATAGGCAAAATAAACAGACACTGCAGCACAGGCAACAGCAAGTGCAGCATAGGTATCTTCATGCTCCCAGCTATCAAGCCAAGTTGGCACGGAAGGACGGAGTTTGCGGGAGGCTCCTTTTCTGCTATTAAATTGCGAAATCAAGGCCTCACCACTCTCATTTTCAGCTGGGAAATTCGCCTGTGTTTCAATGGCATCAGAATCATTTGTGTTTTCCTGTAACACATAGTTTTGACAGCAGGAAGAGTCTCCATTCTCTTGGCAGCAGCCCAGAAAGTTGTCTTCTTGATTTCCATACACATCAGTGCTTATCTCATCATTCTTCATCTGCTTAAGCACTTCCATGCTTTCTTTCAGCTGAAGCCTTTGGTCTTGGCTTTTCTTCTGCTCATCTGGTGATAAACCCATCTGGCCCCTAACGACAATATTCACAGAAGTTTGCACCATATACAAGTCAGCATATTTCTGTGCCAGTAAATAAATGCTAAAAGCACAATCCTTTACCATCTGTGGATCTACAAGCCAATATCGGATTTGGCAACATAGGCCGGAACTCAAAATTCCAGATCCCAGAGGAGGGGTTGCTGATGCAAACCCCTTTATTTATTTATTTGCTTGTTTACCTATATATATATATATATATATATATATATATATATAAAAGTTATGTTCCTTTTTCTCTTTTTGCCAACATATGAGTAATGTACACATGCATATATTGCGAGATGAAAACAAAATAAAAATTAACTCTAAAAGTTTTTTTTTTTTTTTTGGGGAGGAAGACCCTAAAAGATATTATAATATCATCATCATTATTATTTCAGTGATTTGTACCAAGGTTGGGTGTTTGGACATAAGAGTTCATAACATCAAAAATACGAGTATCACTCACTAGGAGAAGACTTTTACTCTACTTACCGGCAGCAGAGGACGTCCATTTCCTCACTTTTCCTCTCTCTTTATTCCCCTGCACTAATATAACGACTTCGACCTATAAAATATTTATGTAGATATTTCTTAATTATTATAACTCATATTTTTATCTGATTAAATTATGTGAGAAGATTGCTTGATCATATTGTTGTGCGCAGATTTCTATGAACACCCAAAATGTTGTGTGAATATCTGATTATTGTGAATCCACTTTAGGGGATGTCCTAATCAGTCTAGGTGACATGTCTCTGACGAAATCATGGGTGCTCAGAAAATTTATTATTTTGATTTTGTGCAGATTTTCCCACATAATTTCTACTGCAGGGCTTAGACAACCCCCCCCCCCCAAAAAAAAAGCTGGACATTATTGGTTAACTTCTATTAATTTGTATCATTCATATACCACATAATGTTCCAAATGCCGGTAAGAGAGATAGCAGTAAGAATTGAGTGGATGAGGATTGGGAATTCAATTCTCGAGTACTACCCCCAAAGCCCCCTGATAGGAGCCCCACATGTCAGATATGATGAAGACGGAACAGCACAACAGCAGTAGAACACTCCTCAGATTCTCCTAGCTTTATTTAGAATAAAGACCGTGATCTCTATTAGTGTTTAGCACCTTTATTTTTTATGTTATGAACTCTGATGTACGGATCCTCAACCTTTGTACAGATCATTAAAATAATAATAATAATGATAGTATAATATCTTTCAGAGTTATTTGTGTATATTTTTATTTTGTTTTACAGAAGCAGTTTATTTATTAAGGGGGTTGATAGAAAGAGATAGAAGTAAAGGAAAGGATTTACATATGGTTTTATTAACTTGGAAAAAGTTTATGATCATGTGTCAAGATAGGTACTTTGGAAGGCTTTAGAAAAGAAAGGTGTGTGGGTTACTTATATCAAAGTCATACAAAATATGTATGAGGGGACAACTATTAGGGTAAGAACGCTAGAGATAAGACAAAGGACTTTTCCATTAAGATTGGCTTACATTAGAGATCTACTTTGAGTCATTACTTATTTAATATTGTTCTAGGCATTCTAGCTAGCTTATTCAAGAAAAAATCCCCAAATACACGCTTTTCACGGATAATGTAGTCCTCATGGCTAAATCAAAAGAAGAGATTAACTCTAAATTAGAGTTATAGAGAAAGACCTTGGAGTCGAAAGGTTTTCGCTTAAGCTGGAGCAAGACATAATATATGCACTGCAATTTTGGGGGGAGGCAAGGCAATGGTGATTTGGAAGTGAACCTAGGAGATCAAATCATTTCTTAAGTGTCAAAGTTCAAATATCTAGGACCCAATACACATAAGGATGATGAAATTGATAAGGATGTTTCGCATAGAATACAAGCTTGCTGGTTAAAGTGAACGAAGACTACTAGAGTTATTTACAATAAGGTACCTAAGAAGCTTAAAGGAAAATTTTATCAAATGCTATAAGACCAGTTATGTTGTATGGTAGTAAATATTGGGTATTAAAGTAAAAACAAGAGCATAAAGTTGGGGTAGCAGAAATGAAAATGTTGAGATAAATATGTGGTCATACAAGAAATGATCCAGCTCGAAATAAAATTATTCGCACAAGAATAAGTGTGGCACCGATCAAAGAGAAAATAGTTGAACATCTCTTGAAGTAGTTTGGACATGTGCAGAGAAGGCCATAGAAAGCCTTGGTGAGAAGGATAGATCAGACAATTTGGAATCCTATAAAAAGCAGTAGAATGCTAAACAAGGTCATTGAACAGGACCTCCTGATCAATAATATATCTAAGAACTTGATTGTTGATAGAGCTGATTGACGTTGTGCGATTCATGTAGCTAACCCCACCTAGTGGGATAAAGCTTATTGTTGTTCTCATTTCATGATATAGGCATGCAAACATAACCTATATATAAATGCGTGTGTAAATAAATAAATAAATAACTAAACAAACAAACAAGTAAATAAAAGGGTTTACAATTGACGTGTCACATCCAACGGTCAGGTACTTAGATTATTTCGCTCCCAAGGAGACATGTTAACAAGTTATCGGCAAGAGATAGATTTTGAACATTCCAAGAATCACACCCTTCTAAGAGAGTAACTCTTCATATTAAAAATGCTATCTGAAATTCCGCAAGCAAAAGACTCCTAGGGATTATTATTCATAAGGAGTATGTCAGAAAACAAAACAGATTTTTCACGGGGAAGGTCCTTGACTGAGAAAACAAGCTTCAAAACAGTAATTTGTCAGAAGACATGCCAATCCATATGAGATCATTTTCAAAACCAAAAAGAAAAGGGCCCCATCATAGTCGAAGTGGATTTTAAAAGGGAAAAAATCTAGACAAGCTATGGATATAAAAGAATCTTCTATATCTTAAATGCTTAAGGTATTAACAACTTCTTGATTATTAGCCATATATTTGAAATTTTGGCACTTCTGTTATCTTCCATTATTTTAGGAATTTCTATATTCTAGATGTTTTCACCAGCAAAACGGCAACATCTCTTCATATTACACCCGCAGTCTTGCCTTAGGGATACTATCATCCACCAACTTTTGAAAAATGATACAAAATCAGCCTAAATGATCCACAGCCAAATAAGAAGTCCCACCAGAGAAAGCTCCAAAACTATTGTCCTCTAAATCATGCATTATAACTGAAAGGAAATGATTACCTCCACAGTGAGTCTAGAATCTCCCCTCTTACAATATGTTGTTGAAGCAATACAGACACATCATCTGGAGCAACATACCCATACCTGCATATTTACGATAGTAAGAATAGTTAGCTCATAATCAAGACAAACAATGTTAGCATGGTATCTACAGATTTTGAAGAAGAAAAATGAAAATCCTAGCACCAAATGGAATTCAACAGTTATTTGTGTCTCATTCTCACCAATGTCCAGTGACTTTTCCGTTGATGCTTGATCCAAATATGATAACATTTCCAGCATACTTATGTCCCCCAATGTGTGAACATGGGCTAACAAACACTTTATTTTGAAGACCTTGTAATTCTATCTCTTCCCTGAATCTACTCACCAAAACAGGTCCACAAACCCCACATCTGCGATCGCGGGATCCATGTGAACAAACAAATACATATGAAGTTTTTAAGGCTTCAGGAGTTCCAGGAAGCCATTCTCCATCCTTCACAAGAACTTCTTCAACAAACGTTTCAACATCAAAATGTGTCAACCTCCTGAAATTTTATTAAATCATAGGGAATCAATAACGACTACCACATAACCTTTTTCATTTTTTTTGGTTGAAACAAAACAGAACCTCTATTCGTAATAAGAAGTTGCAACAAACTTGCACAAACCTGTATCTGACCATATCTGGAAAGATTAATACATCTCCATTTGATGTTTCAGCCCCATCACGCCCAAGTGCGACGTATAAAACAGAGGTATATGCGCAGTGAAGAAAGCAGCCAACGAGTACTAGTGAGAACCAGCGAACGCCCTTCTTCTTTTGACAATTTCTTCCCACGCACGACCTGCGAAGGTTTTCGGAGGCAAAACTATGAATTTCCTGCTCACCTGGAGAAATACGGGAGATTGAAATGAATTTGCAATGCACGACTCTAGATTCAAAAGAGAAAATTGCCCCAGTTGTTTTTCATCCTAAATGCTGCGTTCTCATTAAATGGAGAATAAGTGGAGAGGGGTTTCAATGGAGACGTTCTGTGCTGGGTTACGGCGATGGTGGAGTGGCCGGATACTGGGGGATACGTGGAACCTTGAAAATTCCAGCTGTAAATAAAAAGTAACTGACGTTTTTCCAATTAACAGTTTGAATGAGATTACACCAATTTAAATACTTGTTAGGCCCACCTTAAGCCTATGATATTTGTTCTGTTTTTTAAATAATTATATAATATAGATTATATTACTATATTTGCAAGTTGGGACCAACTCAATCGTGTAAGTTCATGAAAGCAAGAAAACTTAAACTTAACCTGTAAAAATTTGTAATTCAAATTAAAAATCAGAAAAAAAAAAATTTGAAAATTTTGTCCCCCTACGCGTGCGTGAAAGTGGATTGGCAAATTAGTCTGTTACCCTATTAGGAGGTGGGCTGATTTAGCTTGCTCCACCCACCCTCCATCGTTATCCTGTATTCCAGCTCTACGTAGTTTTTATATGGAAACCAAATGATAATTTTAGAAATAATTTTACAGTATACGAAATAAATATGTGAAGGAATCTATTTTGATTTACAAACATTCTCTTTCATCTAGTAATGGTAGCCTACCACATATACGTTGAACCAGCACATATCTTTGTTGAAATAGTTCAGTGATCTCAAGGCCCACTATCCGCTCATGCTAGTTGAAATTCTCTTCTTTCTGGGTTGAAACTTTGAATATGTTCAAATTATATTGTTGAGAACCTTATTATAGGATTTAGGACTCTTATATAGGATTTAAGGCCCGTATAGAATATCTTATAAACAGCTTTTCAATCATGATTTACATAATACAAAGTTAGTATATGAAAAGAGTTTTGTCTCCTATTATATGAAATGTGATTGTTGATAATTGTCATCCCAAATGAGGCCTTGGTTGTTTCAAATCTACCTAAACCATAATCTGATCTCTATATATATTTGCCAACCAAATCCTTAAAATTGAAAGTACCAAGAAGAAGTATCTGCGGTACGTACATATATACATTTACAAATCAATGATGCAGTATTTTGGTCCAGGAGTCCTATAATTTGACATTAACACTTAAAAAGTAGGGCACCCTGGAGCCTTAGCACCTGGTGCTGTGGGGCACTTGGCCAAGCTACAGTGATCATCAGCTTGCAGGCCCCACCAAGTGGGACCTATAACATCATAGCTTTGCAGGGTAAAAAACAGAAGAACACCAGTAAAAGCAACACCAGCATCAAGACCAGCAGATAAAATATAAGTATGCCTGGCCCACCAACCCTTAAACCAACTGTACACATAAAAGTTGAAGAAAATGCCAACGATTGCCCACATTATATAGTTCACTGATTTTGCTGGAAGTAAGCCTCCTGCTCCGCTGAAAATGATGGGCATGTTTATGAGAGGAATCCATTTCTGGTTTGGGAACTTGCGTGAGAGAATCCAAACTGGGACAGGAGCAAGAAGACCGATGAGGAAGAACCAGTTCATTTGTGGGTAGTTTCCTTCCTTTGTGAACATTCTTTTTGGTCCTATCACTCCCCAAATGATCGATGCGTTGTAGAACACATCGTCGCCTGGGCATGTCCAGGGACTTCCTTCTGATAATAGACTAGCGTCACAGATGTTTTCTACTGTTGTTAGAAGCCACCATGCTGTGCCAAAATACACTACAGAAGCAACTATGGTTCCAGCCAACTGCGAATAAATAAACCATAATAAGCTCAGGTATAGGGTGAGGATCCATTGTGAAGAATGAATATATATATATATATATATGGCAAATGAATCATTTAGTCCGTATAATTTTGCTTCATTTGTAACTTGTTTCTTAAATTTATCTCGACATAACTCTATCCCTGTATATAGTTTTTACTCATTTGAAACTCATGCAATTCAGTACCTATATTTAGCCATTGAGACATTTAAATAAAAATAACTTTAGTTTTGGCAATTTTAGTTTAAAAAAAATATAGGGACCCATATTTTGAATGGTTAAAACTTCAAGGACTGATGAGTCTTATCAAGTCAAAGTTCATAGACTGAACTTCGATCGAGTCAATAATACAGGAATTGAGAACTGAGTTGTATTGAGTTAAAGTTGGAGAACTAGGTTGTAACTAAGGAGCAATGATTAATTTATCCATATACATATACAGATGGATAGATAGATATACCTGCACAATGAACATAGATTTTGGAGGAATTTTCATGTAGTGCCCTAATTTGAAATCAGAAACGAAGCTAAGGGCTTGAGCCATGCTAATGTAACCGTAGGTCTTGAAAGCAACATTAGCAAGAGGTCTTCCAGGGTAAATGAACCCAATGATTAACTCTGTGATAACGTTAAGGCCTACTTGCTGCACAGACATTGAAGAAAACAAGTCATTTCACAGAGAAAGAAATAGTGGTAATTAATCAAAGTTATAATGTGATTCAGAGCTAGAACGAAAATCCATACAATATTTGTTGTGGCTTGGACGACCCCAATAGGCAAAGTGAATACAAATGCAATAGCGAAAGAGAATAAGACTCCCCACCATGGAAGTTGAAGCTGACCTCCAAAACCTTGACAAGCAAATAAGGCTAGACCTCCCATTATAACCAAAATAGAAACAAACCACCAATCTGGAACTTGTTCATAGTTCTTCTTCATTATCCTTGTGTGCACATCTGCAAAATGACCTTTTAACTGATCTGTCGTCTTCTTCCACATCTGATATATAGTCCTTTCAACACATAAAACAGACATGTTTTTAGTAATCTCCAAAGTGATCATGAAACCAAACATGGCTGATATATATGGGAAATCATATAGGAACTTACTTTCCATGAAAGAGGCAAACATGTGAAATAGTTGCAGTGAGAGTTGCGAAGCTCAGGCCGTAGTTAAAGGCAAACAAGACACTTAAATAGAGTTTGCTATAACTGTTATATTGGTCCATGTCAATGTCAAAGTTAGCTTGATTCAAAACCCTAGTGACGTTGTACTTTGCACCAGTGGAATCAAAGGTGTGAGAGCTAAAGAGAGGAAACTTCTTGGCTTCAAAAGAATTGGACCAATAAGCAATGGGGATGACGACGTAAAGGAACAAGCCAAACCCTACGAGGACGTTGACGATGACGAAGCCTGGGTTAGCCAAGGGACTGCCTAAGAAACCGGCCACCGTGTTCCAGTCGAGGCCGAAGGAGCCGATGCCGAGGCCGGACATGCCGGAGCCGATCTGCTGGGCGGTTACGGAGTTCTTCCAGATCAAACAAACGAAGGATATGGCTGAGATTGATGGGAAGAAGTAGCCTGGGATTATGTAATAGGCGAAGCTTGTTGCAAAGACCAAGGAGAAGAATTGAAGCCTTGTGGTCCCACCCCTTGGCCTCCTTTCTTTCTCATGGAAGGCCCTAAAATGTTAACAATATATGAATTAAAAACAACAGAGACTGAGTTTAAAGGAAAAGCTTGCAAATGAATGACAATTAATTGAGTTTGTGGCATAAACAAGATCATAAACTTATGCTTTGGAAGATGTTGAAAGTGAGAGCGTAACTTGTTATGGATCATAGATGTCATATATTTGTTCAAAAATCATACATCTAGATAACATCAGTTCTCATGTCAATAAATAGAAAACAAACAAAAAGAAAACAAGAATATTGAATTATTTATTATTTAATATTATCTATAAAGAAAATAAATTCATTTTTGTGAATACTTACCAACATACTAATATAAAATTATACTACGTAATCTTACAGTATGGGTTTGGTATTAAATTAATATTTCATCCCACTTTGTGCCTTACTTATTATTCTCTTTTCAAACTAATTTATCTAACTTTTGAATTGATATATAATTTAATGTTACAAGGAATTATATTGAGGAGATCAAATCACATTTGTTATTAACTAATTGATCTCATTTTCTTAATCTGTCAAAGTTAATAAATAGCTCTCATGTTAAAGAACAAAGTGTACATGACAAAAACTTGTATATTTAACTTTATATACATAAGGTTCTGGTTTCGAACCAAAGGCAAGTGGACCTAATTTAATTTTTTTATTCTATAACAAATTCTTATTATCAGTATCATCAATATTTTAAAATTATCTTGTCGTAACTTGATTGGACAAAAAAAATACCTCCAATCTTTAATATAAAAATTTGATAACTAATTTGTCAATATCAATAAAATTAGTTAAAATTAGTCATTTATAATATTGTTTTTTTTAAAATAACCTCTTAATCATGCACATTTAAATGAAAACCTTAAACATATACTATTCACCATAGGTATTTTAGATGAAAATGAATAAATATGAGGCACAAAGTGAATTAAAATCTTATATTTAATATCAAAATTAAATATCTAATTAGTTCTTATATTTACTACTATTTATCACTGAAGGTAGCCCCCACTCCTAGATAGGGTTACCAAAACTTATGATATTATAATACTAATAATATTTTGGGAAAACCATATTGAAGGTACCTATACTTTCTCTTCAATTTTAATTTGGTACCTATGTGTTTTTTTCCCTTTAATTAAATATTTAATTTTATTTTTTTAGCAACATTAACTCTTATAACTTTGTTCTATTGATATTTTTAGTCTCTACATAAGGATTAATGATGTTAATAGAGGAAAAATAAAGATTTAGTTAAGAACAAAAAAACATAGGTACCAAATTGAAATTGAAAAAAGTATAAGTACCTCCAATATGGTTTTCCCTAATATTTTTATTGAATTTATCTAAACTGATAAACAAAGGAGATCACCAACAAACAATTACTTCAAGTGCAAGGAGAACAGAAAAAAAGGCATTGAACAATTTACTTATTTTTACTTTAATATATTCATTGAAATAATAAATACCTGAATAGAGAGACCTGAACAAGATTTGCTGGCCACCACATGTAAGGAGAGTCAACAAGGAACTTCCTAAACACTCCAGCCCATCCATATCCTATCATCTGTCCTCCCCCCCCCCCCCCAAAAAAAAACATCACAGACACAATATAAATAAAACTGAAATATTGGCAGCCTGTAAAAATCTTTTCATGTATGCTTATTTCTTTTCTTTTTAACAATTCACAAGAAATCAGAAGTATCATGTGGATATTATTTATGGGGACGGTATGATATGAAGCAAGTTGTGAGAAAAATAAAAGCAAAGCCGCACTTCTTTTAAGACGCACATGACATGCCTTGTCTTTTGCCTCAGCGGTTCACGCATCCATATACGCATCCTCGTGTCATTTTGTTTTCCTCTCTTTAGGGATTTCATATGAGGTTGTAATATCAGACCAAGATCAACCTCATAACGTCTAGGTGACCAAATATTTGGGGAGTGTTTGGGAACCTAGAAAAATATTTTTAAAAAGTATTTTTTCACAAAACGAGATAAATTTTTATATATTTACTTTGTATATTTTAAAAATATTTTTAAAATCATG